GCCCCCGTGGGACTCCTTAACACGAGGCCGCACGCCGAAGATCTCCCGTGGTTCGGGAGGGAGAGAGCCAGAAGTGGGGCACATCCCTCAGCTACAGCTTTGGGCTGATCAGTCCGGGGGAGACGGCGCTGGCTGAGCAGCTCCCTCAGGCATACCCTGGCTATCCAGCTTCCAAGTGAGTGCTGAGCTTTGTCAGCCACATCCTTTCAGGAGCAGGGTCTGGAGGCTCGCTGCCGGGTGGTTACCTGTGGGACTCCTGGCCACCGGACACTGAGAAGCCCAACAGTTTGCACAGTAGCAAAAAGTGTTTGGACTAGCTCCCGGAGGAAGAGCCGTGTGTCAAAGGGCATTGAGCAAAAAAAAAAAAAAACACAAGCCCCAACTTTGTCTTTTTTTTTGAACCGCTGATCTAGAAGTTGGGTGAGTGGGGTGGGAGCTGTCACTGCACCACTGTCCCTTTCTTCCTGAGGCACTGGAGACAGGAACCTGGCCTGCAAGACATTTGGTCTGACCCAGGACAGCTATTCTTACGTCCCTATCTCCTATTTCACCCTGATCTGGCGCAGTAGATATGTGAATGTCTATTTTATACACCAGAGTCAGTGGTATAGAGGAAAATGAGATTTCTGACCTAATTTTATTTCCTTTGTTTCCATTTCCTATGGCAAAAGCAAAGTGCGTGCTTGTTCTTGGCTGTGGTGAGGTCTGCCCTGTTACGGCGTGTCTAAGGCTGTGAAGCTGGCAATACTCGTGCCCCTGACACTAGAACCATGCTCATACTTTCATCAGACTCCTGCAGATCACTTCCCGTTCGTGAGTTCAAAACTTAGATTACATACCAGCAATTCTGGCATGCCTGTGAGGTGCGTGGTTGCCGAACACAACTCTCAGCCTCATTCAGCCCAGAAGTTCTGGCAGTATCAGTTCTTCCTTACTTGGAGCCCTTAACTTTTCTTGGGCTGGTAAACCTTCATTGTGTTTTATCCACAAAGCGGCTGCAGTTTGGTGATACAAGAACCAGTGCCTCTTCTTTTTTTCAGCGGGTGTAGCTTAGCTGCTGCAGCCTATGTAAATGTCACTCATTCAGGAGTGCCACACATGTGCTCCTCTGGGCCTTTAAATACCCTGCTGCCTGCTGGTATGCTCTGTGTCTTTAGGGCAGGTCTGGAGTTGGCCTTTCTGGAAAAGGTTACTCTACCTGTTTGCTTAGGAAATCCAGAGTTCTGGCTCCCACAGTGCTTGTGACTCAGCAGTGCAGCTGCCCTTCAACAGAATTACTCGTCCAACAACTTAAAATGCTTTGCAAGCATGAATGAATTAAGCCTCCCAATGTCTTGAGACGCAAAGTATTACTGATAGGTATACCAAGGCAGAGTGTGTCATGTGCAGAAGCACATTGCAAACCCTCTCCCTTGCAGCCCTGAAAGAAATTTTGACCTCATCGAAGTCAGGAGTAAGATCCCCTTCACTCATTAAGGTTGGAATTTCACCCTTGAAGTCCTATTTCCTGCTTTTCTTCACTGAGGTCTCAAGGCCAGATCTTTAGCTGCTGCACAGCAGCACTGAAAACAAGTTGAGCATGGTGCATTATGCAGCCTGAAGATCTTTTTAAAATGCCTATTTCACCATGTATACAGCAATATACAAATTGCTGTATTGCTGAACTGTAGTTACTTTGAGTAGCCTGAAACTTGTGCATGTAAAATTCCAGCTGCAATGCTCCGCTTGCGCATGTCCACGTCTCACGAGGTGTGGAGCCGACGTGTCTTCCTTTGAGGCTGGTGAAGAACTTTTCAATGTCTGGCACTCAGCTTTTTATGTTGCGTAAAGTTACTTCCTGCTAGTCTTCCTATCCTGACATAATTAGATTACATCCACATTAGAAGCTGTTATAAACATCCAGTGTGCCAAGGTCCGGTGTTACAGACAGCACTTCTGTTCAGGCCTGAACCAGTTCCCTAATACAGAGTTAGATCCCGCTTCACTGAAGCCACTGGGAGAATGCCCAGGACTTCAGTGGGACGAGGATCACAGCCTTTAGAGGGAGCGCCTGGCTTACGAGGGTCAGGCATCACAAAGTCAAATCTTTGTGTTAGGAAAGTTGAAATTTCCTTTTAAAGCTCAGTGACTCATTGAATCATGGCTGTGAACAATCCCACAGGATTTCCTTAGATTTGTGATACCTGAAGGTAAGCTTAGAATGGCGCCTCTAGAAAAATTCTTCGTTCAGGGACCTGATGTATCTCATTGTCAAGTCAGTGACTGAACTTTTGTTTGCTACTGTAATGCAGATCTAGACGGTTGCATAATCATGGCGCCCTAACCCTGCACCAGCCTTCAATAAACCAGTAGAAAGGGCTACCAGAAAAGAATCTGTTGAAATGTGGAATCTGTAGTCATAAGGAATTCATAAAGCTTGATGACCTTCCCCTCTATTTTTATAAAAGTAGTTTTTCTTCTTGAAATTAGCCACCCTCTGAAGTTCATTTGTTGCAGTTTTAGGTGTAATTCTGGGCAAACTGAGTGAAAGAGTGAAAATTTCATCCACTTGGATAATCCTTTATCTAGGAGTTAAGCTTCCCTATTGCAAGAAGAATGTATCACTACAGTCAGTCACAGAGGAGTAAGCTTTTAGATAAGGGCTTTCCTATAATATACCCATAACACTTTATTTTCCTCTTGCTGTACTGCAACTGACCTCCGCACTTGGGCGAGTGTCACGGAGGCAGAGATAGGGACTGTGCCGTGCTGCTTGGCTGACACACATTGCAGAGCAACACATTCCAGCAGATGAACCCATTTGCACAGTTGAGTGATCTAAACTTAGAAAGCTAATTTCGCTAATTACAAAGTGAGACTGAACTCCTGTAAAGCTTTTCATCACCTGAGTGGAATGGGAATGGCACTTCCATACTCATTTAATGTTTAGAAACTAATTAGAAAGTGTTTTGTGGGGAGGCCACACCCCGCGTTAGACGATTTCACAAATATATCAGGAGAGAAAACTACCTCTGATGAGAAAGCTGAGCAAGTGGCAGAGGTTAGGATAAAGAGCACAGTTTACCAAACACTGAGCAGTGCATGCCTGCTTCCATAAAAACTTCAGTTCTTTGGAGTCAGGCAATTTCTTAAAGCTGTGTCTCTAGGCAGGCTTTCCAAATGTCACAAAAGATTTTGGAGAAGAGGATGCTCTAGTGACCAGAGACCCAAATCCAGTTTGCTGCTACGAGCATGTGTATATTGTGCATGTGTGTTTTGTGACTTTGAAATTCCCACCTTAGTTTTTCTTTACCTTAGCTC